GGATCGGGGGACCCAGCCAGGGGGGCTTGTGCTGCTAGTTCCCTGGCAGCCTCCTGTCTCCTGCCCGCCTCCCCTCCCAGTCCCTCCGAGGGGAGCCCCTGGCCCTCTCCAGATTCCAGGACTTGGGCACTGGAGAGGGCAGGCTGCTGAGCTGTCCCAAGGTCACTCAGGATGTCCAATAATTGTCCTAACACTTTACCTGCTATGGAACAATAATGCGAGGGTTTTCATTATTTTCGGGTGAGCGCTCCTGGCAGATGCCGACAGCCAGCAGATGTGTAAAGTCCGAGGTGATTTGTAAGGGACCAGCTCATCTGATGCACGGTAATTGCACTGGGCGACGTTGTCACTCAGAGGTTCGTCCTGGCCTGCTGGGAGGAGGTGAAGGTCAGTGCAGAAATCTAGTCGGGCCCCAGGAAGTGGGGGCAAATCCCCCAGGAAGTGGGGCCGCGTGCTGAGGCAGGGCTGCGGTCTCGGAGGGGCTGTCCGGCCGCCGGGGCCCTGCAGAAGCCCCTCTCCCTGAGAGGCTTGGGTGCTGGGGTGGGGGTAGCCCTTCCCGGAGCTGGGCCTGCTCCGTGCTGGAGTCCCTCTTTGCAGGGTCCTTTGCAGCTCTCTGCAGCTGTGCCTGGGTCTTGGGCTTTCCTGACAAGTACACCCTGGGGGCTTCCCAAACAGACCTCTGTTTCCCAGAGTTCGGGGGCTGCAGGGCTGAGATCAGGGTGTCAGTGTGGCCGGTTTCTGGTGAGGACTCTCTTCCTGCATGTGAAAGCACATGGCTTTCCTATGTGCTCACCTGGCCTCCTCTTTGTGCAGGCACGGAAAGGGAAGGGGGGAGAGAGAGAGAGAGAGCGAGCTCTGGCGTCCCTTCTGAGGACACTAACCCTAACACCTCAGGGCCCCACCTTGTGACTTCGTTTAACAAATTACCCTGCAAAGGCCCCATCTCCAAACACAGTCACACTGAGGCTGCGCTGGGGCTTCCCCAGAGGGATTTTGTGGGGACACAGATCTGTCCATCGCATCAGCCATCAGCAGGCCCCACTGTTGTCACTCGCCATTTCACACGTGGAACCCACACACCCCTCCCAGCCGCAGTCTTCGTTTGCCGTCCGGCAAGACGCCCGGGAGCCGAGCTGGGCCTGTGTTCCTGGGGCCGCTGGCCCTTACCCGAGGCCCAGGGTCTGGGGAAGTGCCAGCTGCCGCCGCTGGCCGGTGGGGGGCCCGCCACGCCACCACAGGGCTGTAGGCTTTGCCGCTTGCAGGCCGTGTGGCTGTGGGCAGGTCCTGGCCTCCTGGGGCCTCTGTTTTCTGTCTCTAGAGTGGGGATACTGGTTCTTGCCTCCCAGGCCCGTTTACTCTGTCTGTCCACACGTAGGGAGGGTCACCTGTGAGCCAGGCATCTGGCCCTGGGGACGTGTGTGAGGGACAACAGACGCCTTGGGGCCTGAGGGCGGAATCAGATCGTGGATACTGAGGGCAGGCACCGTGCTCACCCAGAGGCAAGGCTGGATATAGTGTCACATTAATATTTTACAGTTTTCACGGTAATAGTGAATACTTTTATTATTTTCAGTGATTTTAAATAAGGAAGAGACAGCCTGGGACTGGTCCCCGGGGTCTGTGGTGGCACCAAAAGGGGGCTTGGTCTGGAGGCACCAGAGGCCAGGACCCAAGGGACTTGCCTGAGCATCTCGAGCACGGTTTTTCAGGGACAGATCCTATCTCTGAACCCGTACTTGGTTTTACGACACATGTTTAGGATGAGCTTACCTGGGTGTTTCAGAGGAGACCAATGGCTCCGGTGTCCCGAAGTGAGTTCCCTGATTTACTCATTTTTCACCCTGTGTCAAGTTGCGTTTGGAATGACAGATGTGAGGCACTGTCGTCGCACTGTCACTCTGATTGCTCACTGTTCTGAGAAGGTCACATCATCATTCATTAGCAATAATCGGTCCCCCGGGACCCCTGCACTTCTTCACTCAACTGCTCCATTAACTCGGGTGCGAATCGCACGCTCCGGGTGCCAATCAGTGGAGATCCGCCCGTAACTCGCGAGGTGACGCTATTAGTTACAATATATTAACTGCCTGATTTAAAAATAAAAACGCTATCTTTATGAAGGGCAATTAACCACTAAGTGTAATTGATAATTCGTAAACCTCTGATTAGGAAAGACAAATAAAAGGAAAGGGAGGGATCGCCCGGGCTGTTGAAGAAGACGTCGTCAGCCTCGCCGTCCCTGCCTTGTCGCAGACCTGCAGACTTCTACCACGTTGCACCTGTCCGCTGGGAGGGGTGGGATGTCATCGTAGCTCACTGCAGCCTCACACCCCTGGGCTCAAGCAATCCCCCGCCTCAGCCTCCCGAGTAGCTGGGACTGCAGGTAGGTGCCACCACAGCTGGCTAATTAACCCTTTGCACTCACTTGCTTTTTTCTCGTTCCTTTATTCTACTCGGGATTTAATTTTTTAAATACCCCAGATTTTACAAAGCGTGGCAGTAGAATAAAAAACTGGAGTTTTTTTTTCATACAAACTTATTTATTTGGATTTTTTTAATATTTCAAATTATTGATACGTTCAAAGAGTAATTTTAATATCTATAATTTTTCATGGTGTGATATTTTTTGAAACATTCACCCACATGAAGACCTGGTTTACATTTACAAGTTTTGCAAATATAAATCGTCTCTCTTCTTCCTCCTGTGATTTTTATGTTAGAATAAACAACACAATCTTTGTATTTTTTGTTAGGGTGAGGTGTGATTATATGGAGCTTTCCATGTAAACGTTGCTCTAAGTTAGTGGATAATAACCTACCCCTGGAAGTTAGTGTACCATCTCTGCATTTACATTTTACTTGTCCTTTCATGCTAATGAAAACAAGAAAAGATACTGGAAAAATAGACAAAAGTCTCCCTCCCCCCCCCCCCCCCCCCGTGGTGAAACTACGTGTCAAGTATGGCTCGACGTACGAGCTGCTACTGATGCTAACCGTGTCGAGTCACACTCGACATCTGAGTGTAAAGGATTAAAAAAAAATTTTTTTTTGTAGGGCCAGGGCCTTTCTATGTTGCCCAGGCTGGTCTCAAACTTGTGGCCTCGAGCAGTCCTCTCATCTCGGCCTCCCAAAGTGCTGGGATTACAGATGTGAGCCGCTGCACCTACCCCTTATATGTGTGTTTTTATAAATTATAAATTATGCATTTGAAACAATTAATGTATTGCTTAGATTATTTAGAATATACAACTTGAAAGGATGGCTGAAGAGTCAAGACGTCTTCCTGCGTCTTTGGAGACCAGCGAAGTGTGGGTGTTTAGGGACCTGCCTGGGAACAGTGTGGGTGGCAGGGTGGTCGGGGCTTGCAGCCTGTTTTCTTTTCCACGACGACTCCGCACTGCGGCTCTGTGCAGGTGCCACGTGTGACCACCGCCTCGAGGGGCCGGGTTGTGTGATCTGGGCGGGGGAGCCAGCGGGGCCAGGTCCGGCCTGCCCCCGCCAGCTCCTCCGGCACCCGGTCCCCTGCTGGTGGGCACCCGGCCCTCTGGCCCCCTCCCCCTCGCACACACCCACGCATTGGCTCTTGGCTCTCTCCCGGGGTCTGCTCTTCCTTCGCCTCCCCGTATGCCCGCTGGAACCTTCTCTCCCTGCGGATCTCGGTGCCAGAGCTGCTCCCCCCGGGAGGCCTCCCCCAACGGGCCTAGCCCACCTGGTCGCCCTCTGTCTCTCCACCCCGCTAATACCCTGCATAGCGCCTCTCCTTTCCCTTCCCTTGTGGGCTTCCTTGTTGGGTGCCAGCCTCCCGCCCACCTGCCCAACTGTGTCCTGGGAAATGTCCTTGCCGTGCAGGGTCCCAGGCCCTGGCCCAGTAATCACGTGTCGAGGGGTGAATGCTGTCTCGTTAGGCCCCCGCTGTGAGGTTTGACATTTCTGAGAACTTGCCACGTGTGGCTGGGGTGGGGCAGGTCTCCCGTGAAGCTGGGTGGGAGACACTGGGTGCTGCTGGTGACCTGGAGCGTCTCAGGTTCCTGTTGCCTCCGTGTCGGGTTGGGACAGGTCGCTGTCCTGTCCGTCCATCCCTGAATAGTCCGTGTCCCCGACAACTTAGGCAAGCCTTTCTTTATCGATGGTGGTGGGGAGACAAACCTTGGCTGGGTCCCTCTGCTGTGCACTTGGGGAAAATACAGATCCGGAGTGAATACGGTGCAGACAGGTGCAGCTCAGACGCAAGGTGGGAATGCCGAGTGCTGGGGAAGGTGCAGAGAAATAGCTGTGGACGTGCAGGGGTGTCCTCCAGCCAGGCCTAGCACAGCGTGATGGAGGGGAGGGGTCGAGTGGGTCTTGGGGGCGGGTCGAATTGCTGTAGGTGCACAGGCAGCGTGTCCCAGGTGAGGGAGAGGCACCAACAGAGGTCAGGTCGGGTACCCTGGGGAGTGGCAGGTGCAGCGAGGATGGGAAGGAGGGTGTGGGATCCCCTAAAAAGGAGTCTGCTTCTGCTCAGAAACCCCAGCTTAGCCGGGCGTGGTGGCTCACGCCTGTAATCCTAGCACTTTGGGAGGTCGTGGCGGGCGGATTGCTCAAGGTCAGGAGTTCGAAACCAGCCTGAGCGAGACCCCGTCTCTACCAAAAATAGAAATAAATTAATTGACCAACTAAAAATATATATACAAAAAATTAGCCGGGCATGGTGGCGCATGCCTGTAGTCCCAGCTACTCGGGAGGCTGAGGCAGTAGGATCGCTGAGCCCAGGAGTTTGAGGTTGCTGTGAGCTAGGCTGATGCCACGGCACTCACTCTAGCCTGGGCAACAAAGTGAGACAAAAAAAAAAAAAAAAGAAACCCCAGCTTGAACACACCTGGGGGCAGTCAGGGCCACTCAGGACCCACTGTGGTACGGCCTGGGGCTCTGCCAGTTGCCTGTGGAGCGCGTGTGTCTCTAGCTTCCTTCCCAGGGCCCCCGCCCCCGTGCCGACAATCCCTCAGCTTGTTGTCCCCCCACAGGCTGAAGCAGTCCCACCTGAAGATGAGATTCTGCACCAACGACTCGCAGAAGTCCCGGGGAGAGCTGGTGGGGCTGCTTCAGCAGCTGGGATTCGACATCTCTGAGGACGAGGTGACCTCCCCGGCACCGGCCACCTGCCGCATCCTGAAGGAGCGAGGCCTGCGGCCGCACCTGCTCATCCACGAAAGTAGGTCTGCCGGCCTGGGGCCTCATGGCCTGGAAGTTCCCCTTTTCCAGGGTGGGCCCGGGGAGGGGGCCACTCTCAGCGGGGCCACACACTGGCGGGGACGCAGAGGTGACACCTGTTGCTCCCAGCACTCACAGGTGTGTGTCGGGGGTGCAGCAGAAGCTTCATGGGCCTTCCTGCTGGGGGTGGGGGTGAGTTAGGACCTCACCCCATCCATCCCCTGGCCTCACACCAGAAGGTTGTCAAAGCAGGTTCCAGATGGTTCCAGGGGGGAAACCCTAAGGTGGTTTTCCTCGATCTAGGATGAACCAAGGGGCCAAGGAATTGTTAAGGCGGAACGTTCTAGCTCCTGTTGAGAGAGAAAAGGAATTTGAATGAGAAGCTCGATCGAGGTCCATAGTTTTCACACGCCTGGCACCTGTAGCCTCCAACTATATTTGTGAAAACCAGCCCTGCTCTGTGGAAGCAGTTTGCAAGTGGCTGTAGGAACGAGGTTTGCATCTTGATTTTAGCCTGAATGCAAGAAAAGAGCCCCCTTTGACCCTCAGTGGCAAGTTTTTTGGTTTTTTTTGTGGGGGGGAGGGCTTGTGGAACAAAGCAGAAGGAGCAATATTATCTGGTGCCTGCTGAATATTTAAAAAGAAAGAGACATTAGCAACACTTTGGAATTCAGGGCCGACTTCTCTGTGGGTCCACTGAGCCTTCTTCCCTCCTCTGCACTTGCTATTTTTATTTTTACAAACCACTGGGCAGAGGCAAGCATGCTTTCTTCCTTCCCAGGGCAAGAGTGGGGGCTCGTAAGAGGTGGAGGGTGCTCCCTGGAAGGCCCGAGTGTCGAATTCACAGCCCTGGCGCCAGTTAAGGGCGACATGCCCAGCCTTTAGAAATCTTGTTTCTCAGAATCCTTTCTCTGCAATCCAGGATCCCTGCCAACGTCTTTAGAACATGGTCTTCAAAGAAAGAAGACTTAAGAAAGACATTCTCTCCTCCCGAGCCCCAAAAGTGTTGCTAGACCTGGGAGTGGGCTGGAAGCAGCAGGCAGGAGAGGGGAGTCAGCATTCCATCAGCCAGCGAGTGGAACCAGCAGACAGAGAAGCCCCAGAGGGCTGGAGGCCTGGAGGCCTGGAGGCCTGGAGGCCCGGTGCCCTTCCTCAGCTGGGATCCCACATCTGTGCTTCCAGCAAGCGTACCTGTGTTTTCAGACTCGGGATTTTTTTTCCAAGATTTATTGTGGATGGATTTTTCCCCCAACATTTTATTGTGAAAATTTTCAAACATACAGCACAACTCACAGAATTTTTACTTGGAATACTTTCATACCCATCGCCTAGATTGTTGATGACACTTCATGATTCTCTTCACTCTGGATCCATCCATCCTTTCATCCATCTATCTGTGTTATTTTGGGGTGCATTTCAAAGTAAATTGCAGACATTCGTATACTTTCTCTAAATGCTTCAACATGCTATTCGCTAGAGTTCAAGATTTGCTGACAGTTTCTTCTGTTGGTGTAAAATTTACATACAGTGGAATGCACAGACCTCGAGTGTACCTTTGCTGAGTTTTGACAAATGCACACACCTGTGGAAGCCATCCCCCACCAAGATCCAGACAGTCACCATCGCTGGCAGTTCCCTGGTGCCCTTCCCAGTCAGTCCCCACCACACCCCTCTAGAAGCAACCATTATTTTGACTTTTGCCATTATAAATCAGTTTACCTATTCTGGAATTTTATGTAAATAGAATCATACAGTATATACTATGTTTCCCCGAAAATAAGACCTACCCATAAAATAAGCCCTAGCAGGATTTCTAAGCATTTGTGCGATATAAGCCCTACTCCGAAAATAAGCCCTAGTGATGGGCGTGGCTACGCAGCGCATCTGCACAATCCAGGCATTTCATCGCACAGCGGTAAAGAAGACGAGCAGCCCTTCTCATCTGCCCCATGAGAGCTCTAGTGCTCGACATGAGAGATTGGGGCCAATGGTTCTAAAGGAAATAGAGTCGCAAGAGATTCAGGGTGGAATTCGGGGTTTGGAGAGTTATGATGATGTTCCAGAAGAAGACGACTTAACTATATTTGAATAAATGTAGATTATTGTACCGTACTTAAAAAAAATAACACACCCTCTGAAAATAAGCCCCAGGGTGTCATCTTGAGGAAAAATAAATATAAGACCCTTTCTTATTTTCGGGGAAACACGGTAATTGTGTTGCCCCCCCTCCCCCAGTGGGACACCCCCAGGCTCAGAGATTTGCTAGAAGAACTCACAGGACTGGCATGGTTGCTGCACTTACAGTCACGATTCATTACAGTGACAGTGAAGACCAAACACAGCACAAGGAGGAGGCACATGGGGCAAAGGCCAGGAGGAGCCAGGCGAGAGCTTCCAGTTGTCCCCTCGGACTGGACTTGGGCTGAGCCTCGCCCAGTCATCCCAGCAATGCTGTGTGACAATATGCGGGAAGTGCCGGCAACCGGGGAAGTCCCTGAAGCCTCGGTGTCCAGGGTTTTCACTAAGGGTCAGTCACGTAGGCACGAAGCTACTGTGTGACTGACCTTAGCTCCTCATTCCCCAGCCCCCCAGAGTTCAGACTGATACAGCATGGCCCAGGGCTGCAGGCACACAGCAGCAGATGCCTTCCGTAAATCACGTAGTCAGCATAAACTGTATGGTCGAATTGATGCGGTCCGCCCAAGGCCCGAGGCATACAAAGCCCCTCTTATCGGGCGGGATATTGCAAGGGCTCAGAGGTTATCTCTCGGGAGCCAGTGGAGGGCCAGCCCTGAAGATGGATCTTTCTTTGGAATGTGCAGGCTTTGAGCAACCCAGGCCGGCTGAGTTAACCCTGTCTTTCACAATCGCCTTTTGTGTAAGGCTGTTTCACCCAACATAATGTTTTTCAGTCTCGTCTATATTGTTGCATGTGTCAGAGGTTTTTTTCATTTTTATTGCAGAGTAGTATTCCACGGAGTGAGCATACCACGGTTTATTCATCCACATGTTGATGGATATCTGAGTTCTTCCCAGTTTTAGGCTACCGTGAATAAATCTGCTATGAACATTCCTGTACAAGCCTTTTGAGCAAACACCTAGGAGTGGGATTGCTGGGTCCTAGGGTGGTGTGTGTCTGGTTCCGTAGAGCACTGCCAGACGTTTGCCCAGAGGGCTGCACTGTTAGACACTCTCTCCATCTGTTGCAGCTGTTCAGCATCCTCACCGGCCCCTGGTGTCATCAGTCTTTTTAATCCTCACCATTCTGGTGGGCATGAAGTGGTATCTGAGTGTGGTTACTTCAGTTTTTTTAATCCAGGAAGGTCAGCGTCTAATACTGAGGGAGATGAGAGTGTGTGCCTTCTAGGAACTGAACACATAAAGCCAATCCATGACTCCATCCTTGCAACTTTTCCTATTTTAATTTAAAGTGGGGAGAGGGGACAAAAGAGGAGGAGGAAGGACTTTGGTAAGGGGGCTGGAGACCTGGGCCGGGGGGGAATGAATTCTGCACCTTTTTTCCAGGACATGTGTGGGAGTTTACCTGAAATGTGTTGGTGGCTCTTGTGGTTTGGGACCAGCAGTGTCGACCCTCCAAGGGTTGTAGGCAGCCTCATTTCATCCTACTGCTGGGAACCTGTGTCCTCCAGGCAGATTTCCCTTCTTAGTTGCAAAACTGCGCGTTTCCTGCCTGCAGTGGTGAACTGAGGGAGCCCCTGGGGCTAATGCTGGTGTTGGGATGGAGGGTGCTGGGCGTGGGTCCGACTTTCTCCTAATAAGCTCCCTAACCGTGGGGCGCCGGAGCTCCCTATCTGTGAAGTGGGAATAACACCTGTTCCTTGTCCACGTCTCATGGGAGTTGTGAGGATCGGAAAGGGGGAGGGCAGATGTGGCAGACGGAAGGGTCCCTGGTGGGAGTTGGGGGACAGGCTGTGTCACCCCGGGGCTTGATCACGCTCTCTCTCACTCTTTCCAGGAGTCCGCTCAGAATTTGATGAGATCGACACGTCCAACCCAAACTGTGTTGTAATCGCAGATGCGGCAGAAAGCTTTTCTTATCAAAACATGAATAAAGCCTTCCAGGTGCTCATGGAACTGGAAAATCCTGTGCTCATATCCCTGGGGAAAGGGTAAGTGGGCTGCAGGGAGAGTTGTCGCTTAGTGCTCTGGGTGATGCTTTGTGGCTGTCCGACTTACAGAATCAAGGGAGAAGGATGCCAGAAACGGCAGGAAATGAGGTGTGGAGCACAGCTGACCTTCTCCCTCCTCTTTTTCTTGCTTTTTCTCTTCATTTCTTCCTTCCTCTCCTTTAGTCATTTCTTTAGGAAGTTGGAATACCCTGTCCTCAGGAGCCGGTTGATCAAGCTCCCATGTGGGCCCTAGGCTAGAGCTGGGCAGGGATGGGGGTGTTACTGCACATGGAGACCCCTTGGAGGTCTCAGAGGCCAAGGGTCGATTGTCCCGAGTTTGGAGCAAACAAGGAGAAGGTTCGTTTGCACAGGATGCAGCACAGGGTGTGGAAGAGTGGTCCCAAGGGGCACCCGAGTAGAGAAAGACAGGCTCGAGGGCCTGTGGGATGCTCTGGTCTGTGCACTGCACGTCTCCGGCTGCAGAGCACTGTCTCTGCAAAGCGGCTTTTGTGACCAATGATTTTGTCTGGGCCTCTAGCACGTGCCTCACCATCCCTTTCTTTAAAGAAACAGCACTGGTTATTGCCCTTAACATCTTTTCTTGCCACCAAGAGATCACATGTTCACTGCAGAAAAATTAGAAACTATAGATGAGCAAAAGAAGAAAAAAAGTACTTTTAGTGCCACGCAAGGAAAATCAGCTGTCTACAATTTGGTATATGTCCTTCCACATGGTTTCCTGTGCAAGTAGATCATTGCAGATGGATGCATTCACAGCATGGGCATCAAACTTGACCTTGTGTTTTCACCCGTTTGTTTTTTTTTTTCTCGTTCACCAAACAACATCTGTGAATGACTTCCCAGGCGATAAGTGGATATCTCTGCGGCACAGTTATCCATTGTGTGGATGTCCTGTAATTTTTAACAACTGATCCTCGTTGATGGACATTTGGTTTGTTTCTGATTTTCTGCCATAGTAAGACTGTGATGAGGATCTTTGTGCATTTCAGATGATGTCCTCAGGGACAAACTGCAGAGTAAGCATTTTTGAGGTTCTTGATGCACGTTGCCACGTTGCTTTCCAGAAAGCTAAGCAGATTGATTCTGTCATCAGCAGGAGCAGCACTAGAATCTTAGCATCACGGGGTCTTAAAGTTGCAAAGACACTTTGGAGTCCCCATCCCAGTTTCTCATGCAGTGTGGGAATTCTGATGTTAGCAGCTTACGTGCTTTTGGTGACTGAGCGCTCATGGTCCCTGCCTGCCCAACAGGGCAGCTAATGGACTAGACAAGGGAGGGCTTTTTATTTGTCCACTGGCCATGGCTAAGCACTTTACGCACTCCATCTTGTATAATTTTGACCGTAGCCCCTGTGAGGTGTACGCAGGGTCATTGCCGTTTTGCAAGAGGGGGTGTTGAAGCATTCGGAGGTAAGTAAGCTGCTGTTCCCCAGCTGGTGAGTGCTGGCAGGACCAGGAGTGCCACCTGGCCTGGCTGGCCCCAGAGTCCGTGCTTGTCACCACTAAGCAACATTCTAGAGCACATGTGTGGCCCACACACATCTTATTTTATTATTATTTTTTGAGAGCCTGTGTTGTAAAAATTGGGAGATTTTACATAAAATATCCAGATTTCTGGATTTTTTTTAAAGAATCAGAACATCTGACAGTATTGGGCCTCACATTCCTTGCACACAGCAGCTTGGCTGGAGCCACTGCCTCATTAGTGCCAGTTCACCACAGACCCCACCACTCCCTATTGCTCTCCAGTCTTCGGAGTCAGCTGCCATTTGTTGTTTTTTTCATAGTGCAGAAATATTTCTTCATGCTATGTTTCTGTGAAAAATAGGCAAGTGAAAAGATGTTTTCAAGAAAGAAAGGAGAGTACGTATATTTTTAGGAGCTAAAAATTTCTGGTATGTTTATCACACAAATAAATTGTGTCCCGTTTTAGTCAGGATTTTCCAGAGAAACAGGAACCCACAGGATGTGGGTGTATATAAAGAGGGATTGATTGTGGAGGCTTGGTAAGTCTGAAATCTGTAGGGTGGGGCTGGTAGGCTGGAGACTCAGGGAAGGTTGCAATTGAACCCTAAGACTTTCTACTGGGGGATTCCTTCTTGCTCGGGGCGGTCAGGGTTTATTCTACTAGAGCCTTCCACTGCCTGGACAAGGCCCACCCACTGTATGGAGGGTAACCTGATTTGCTCACAGTCCACCAATTTAAATGTTAATCTCCCCAGAAAACACCTCCACAGAAACATCCAGAATGACGTTTGACCACATATCTGGGTACTGCGGCCGAGCCAAGTTGACATGGAAAATTAACCATTGCAGTCCCCTTTTAAAATTATAACCATCTGCAATTTAGGTCACTGCTTTGGAGCAAACCATGGAACGTGGCCTGCGTAACCCATTCCCCTGGGCTCGGCCCTTCAGGCGTTTGAGTTACCGGTTACCAACCCTTCACTAGAGAATAAGCATCATTAAGAAGCTCAGGCCGGGCGCGGTGGCTCACGCCTGTAATCCTAGCACTCTGGGAGGCCGAGGCGGGCAGATTGCTCGAGGTCAGGAGTTCGAAACCAGCCTGAGCAAGAGCGAGACCCTGTCTCTACCAAAAGGTAGAAAGAAATTAATTGGCCAACTAAAAATATATAGAAAAAATTAGCCGGGCATGGTGGCGCATGCCTGTAGTCCCAGCTACTCGGGAGGCTGAGGCAGCAGGATTGCTTGAGTCCAGGAGTTTGACGTTGCTGTGAGCTAGGCTGACGCCACAGCACTCACTCTAGCCTGGGCAACAAAGCGAGACTGTCTCAAAAAAAAAAAGAAGCTCAGTTATAACTCATTCATGGGAAAACCCTTTTCTTTAATATTGTCTCATAATTATTAAAAGTCGCTATTCCAGATTATGGGTAAGAGTCGATATAAGTATGCTGTTGAGAAATTTAAAAACTGGAATCAGTTGCATTCAGCTTCGTAATACCGCAGCAAGTTCAATAGTTGGCAAGGGTTTGTTTAAAAAGAAAAGATTAGTGGGGTCTGCAGCTCACGGGGGTTCTGTGTGTTTAGAAACCAGAGAAAGGGACTGACAGCTTTCGGGCTGAGTCACAGCTTCTCAGGCCAGCCCAGGAACCCGAGAAGAGCCGCTGTCACCGTGCTGTCACCGTGCTGTCATCAGCTGGGGGCGGCCACCGCTGAAGGCCCGTCCTCCACCGGAGCAGGGTGCGTGCCGAGCGGTGCGGCTGAGCGGCAGGAGCGGCGGGCGGAGGCGCCAGGGCAGAGTGTCCCTTCCTGGAAACGGAGTGATTTACATGTGGCATCTGTTTGGACCGAGAGTGGGAATTGGCTTTGTGATTCCTGCTGTCATGCCGCCCTCAGAAAATCAAGCTGTTTACGCGGCAGACCCAGGGAGGTTAATGGCTCTTCTGGGAAAGGTCAAGTGGTCATTTCGAAGGGAGGCTGTGCTGAGTGATCGGAAGCGGCCGAAGAATAAAGCATAAACCCGGGTCCCACTCCTCCTCCCGGCGGCCCCGTCCCCCCGGCGCCCCAGCTCGCCCGCAGTGGCCGGGCCGTGCAGGTCCCGCCCGGCCGCCTGGCGGTGACACGCCAGCAACACAGGACGAACACGCCTCCAGCGTGTAGGACTAACCCGGGCCTTTAGGTTTAAAGCCCGGTGCTTGCGTTTACGATCTGAAGAGAAACCCGAGTATGTGGCTGTATTTCCTTTATCTCTAAAAAAAAAAAAAAAAAACGTTTTCAGCGGACAGTTGGCCTCCAGGTGCCTTTGTCTTTTCCCGAATGAGTAAGAAACAAAGAAGAATATTCTGGGCGCTGTAAAAACAAGCCCAGATTCAGTTGACAAAAAAGAAATGCTGAAGTTTCTAATTTTGATTTCTGGAAGTCAGTGTTGTCTTTGAACCCTGAAGGCCGGCACAGCAGAGGCGAGGTTTTTGTCCCGTGTCTTAAGTTGCACGTTTAGTTTTCTCCTCCCATCCCGGATTGAACTTCAACAAGAGAGTCCGGGTCTCTTTCACTTTAGAAGAGACCCCGGGGGGCGGGGGGCGGCAGACGGCCCGCGGGTCTCCTCGGGCGGATCCCCAGTGATGGCAGGAGGCGTGCATCTGGGCCCACCCGGCCTCCGTCCCCAGCGGCCCCGGCAGCCGAGGGAGGGAGTCTGGGCCCAGCGGCTCCCAGAATCCTCAGCTCCAAACAGAGCTGTACCTGCTGCAACACGGTGGTGTGGTGTTTTAGTTCTCCTTCTGTTTCTGGGTAAGCATTTCCTGTGCAGGGTATGTGCTTCCGTCTCCTGTCCCGCGTCCCGGGCTCCCCTCGTGCCTTCCCTCCTCCCCTCACTCAGGCGGGCCCCAGGAGATGAGGGTCGTGGCCCCTGGGGGGCCGGTGGGAGGCCCTGCCAGGGCGGCGTGGCCCTCGTGTCCTCAGCGGGAAGCTCCCGGTGATTCCGAGGGGCTCCCTGCGCCTGGATGCTCCCACTCCCCTTCCTAGTGGCTGGGCGAGCCCTCACCCTTCAGGTCTCAGCTTTGTCTTTCCTGCCGTGGGACACCTCTCCTGTCCCCTGTCCTCTGTCCCCAGCACGCCCCTCGCCCTAGCAGGCAGCGTGCTGCAGAGCACGGGCTTCCGCTGTCGTTACCTGTGTGCGTTTGTGGGCTTGTCAGCTTCCCCCCTAGACTGTGAGTCCTGGGGAGCAGCCTGGGTCTGGGAGTGTCCCTGAGTCCTGCAAAGGGCCTGTGGGACAGCCGTCTGTTCATGTCCCCGGGCGACTGACCAGTGCAGGCCTCAGGACCTGGCGTCTCCCTTGCCCTCTTGGCCAAACTGTGCCACATTTCGGTTCCCGTTCTCTTTAAACTCCGGCCCGTAAGGAAATCACCATTCCAGAGTAGCTTCCGGTTGAAGTGGGAAAAGTAAAAGCAAACGCTTTCCTGAGTCTATACAAATGCAAGATATAGGTGTGGATTCTGGATTTAAGACATGAAATTAGTGATGTCTAAGCCCGTGTTTTGGAGTCGGTCACTCTGTGAGGATGTGCAGTGTCCCAGCCGGCCTGTGTCCTTGTGGTGTGGCCCAGAGCACAGAGCTCAGAGGCTGAGGGACAGGCCTGGGGTTCACTGAGGGACTCTCGAGTCCTGTCACCATGGGGGATGCCCGTTCCTTCGACAGACGGACTCCAGGCTCCAGAGCCCCCGATGGGGCCAGTGGCAGGGACCTGGCAGGGACACAGGCCTTGCAAGGCCAGGGTTTGGCTGAGGCTCTGCAGCCCAGCTGGGAAGCCACTGGGGGTCGCAGGGAATGCAGGGGGCAAGTGGCTGATCGCTCTGAGCAGCTGGGAAGGCATTCAAGGCATGGGGTGGGGGAGGAGGGGACAGCAGGGTCCCCAGGAGTGGCAGAGCTGGAGGAAGGGCGCAGCCCCGGGGCGGCTCCCAGGGAACTCAGTCCTAACACACTTCAGATGGACACACAACGCCGCAGCTCAGCAGCCCGAGTTGGAAAGACCTGTGCTTGTTTTTCTTCCCCCAGCTCTTACTTTCTTGCCTATATCTCAGCCCGGGGAAGCAGTTATTAATCTTTTTTGAGCAGTTTCTGCGTGCTAGGCATCATGTCAAGAGCTTTGCGTACATTGTTTTGTTCAAGCTTCACAGCAATCCGTGAGAGAGGTGTGGTTTGTTGTTTGTTTTGCCCATTTTACAGATTAGGAAACTGAGGCCCAAGGGGATCAAGCAACCCAAAGTCATCAGAAGGCAGAGAGAGGATTTGAAGGCTGAAGTCAGATGCTTCTCTGTCCTCCCCTCTTGTCCTCTGCACACGTGCTTTCCAGTGTCCCCCAATACCGAAGGGCAGGGCAGGAGGAGGAGGGAAAGTGATGTGACGGGCGACGGGACGTTTTAGTAATTCTGAGCGCCAGCTCCCTGTCTTTATATTCTTGGGCTCCGACGGAGCCTGTCTCCAGAGTGGCACAGGCCGAACCACCCTCTCCCCTCCCGTGGAGAGAGCTGGGCTTGCCGCCCCGCGTGTGGGTGCCCGGAGGCTCGTGTGACCCGGGCGTGGGGTGGCCCAGGCGGGGGCGGCTGGGGCGCAGCGAGCCGCCGAGCCAGCGCGCACACTCACGAGGGCAGCGGGCCGTCTGGAGGACGGAGAGCTCCCCAGAGCCGGGCGGGAAGGATTTGGTCTTCTCGTAAAAGCCTCTGGCGCCTGAGAGGCCGCCCGCGCCTGACCCCGGCGGACAGGGGATGGGCCGGGTGCAGTGGAACTAATGCGGTTCTCTTCTTCAGGCAGCAGGCGGGGTTAATTATTAGCAGTTAGGGGTCCGCCACATGCTCTGTGGACCTGCTGTCCCTTCCCAGAACACGGGTCACTTGTCTTTCTCTGTGTGGGCAACTGCAGCCATCTGCCCCGGGGCCCCGGTTAGTCATGGCAGGGGGCCCCGCGAGGCTGGCAGCAGGGGCCTGTTCTGACTGAAGGGACCGTGGTGTCCCCGGAGCTGCCGGGCCACTGTGCCCCACGTCCCCGTCGCGCTGGCCTCCGTCCGTCCCTCCCAGCAGGCGTCCGGGCTGACCCTGCGCCCTGGCTCAGCCCCGTGTCCCTTCTGCTCTCTTCCAGACGCTATTACAAGGAGACCTCTGGCCTGGTGCTGGACGTCGGGGCCTATATGAAGGCGCTCGAGGTACTTGTCACTTGTCCTGGTTCTGTTCCGAGCCCTCTTCGCATCTCAGGGCGCCTGGGATGTTTCCGGTCTTTCTGGAGAAGAGGGGTGCTCAGCGTGTGAAGGGCTTCTGTGTTTCTCAGTTGGCTCCTACTTGGGGTTCCCCCAGCGCTGGGCCCCTCACCTGCCGTCGCTGTCACTCTGCCCTGCCCTCCCGCCCTCTCCTCTGGTGGCCCAGCCCTCACTGCCCGTGCTGACCCCCGCTCTCCCCATGTGCTCTCTGCCGCTCTCCTGTCGGCTCACAGCCTCTGCACCTGTGCAGACCCCCCCCCGCCTCTCCCCTGCACCTGGTGACACACCCCGCCTCTCCCTGTACCTGTGCGACACCCCCCGCTCTCCCTGCACCTGGTCAGACCCCCCCGCTCTCCCCTGCACCTGGCGCACCCTCCGCCTCTCCCGCACCTGTCGACCCGCCTCTCCATCCTGCGACCCCGCCTCTCCCTGCACCGTGCGGACCCCCCCCCGCCTCTCCCCTGCCCCGGCCATGTGCAGCACCTCAAGTTCGATGTGTCCTAACTGGACTCCTTCCTGATGTCCCCTTCAGCATCCAAGGCCCTCCGTGCCAGGCCCTCAGATGGGGCTCCCCCGTGGTCCACTCTGACCCACGTCCCGTCAGCTGCCCCAGCCAGGGCCTCGTGTCACTTCCCATCCTCACAACTGCGGTGGCTCCTGCCTGCCTGCACGCGGGGGGCTGGAGGGGTAGATGGCAGAGGGAGCCCTGAACCCCTCTCTCCCAGGAGGGCCTGTGGTGGAGCCGGGATTGGGGGAGGGGCAAGAGAATGGAAGTGCCACTGAGCAAGCGGACGGGCACTGGCCTCCTGGCCCTTGGCAGGCCTTGGCTGTGCCAGCTCTTGGCCTTGCAGTGGGTGGCAGGGTCCCGGCAGTGGGTGCCACGCGTCCCCGGCAGCCCATTGTGGAGTCACGAGGCCCTTGCTAAGGAGGGGCGTTTCTCAGAACACAGCGCCTGGCCCTTGGGCACCTGTGGGCCAGTCTTCCCTGGGTCGGGCACACACCTGTTCCTTGATCCCAAACCCACACCGTGTCCTCCTCTCTCTTCCCAGTACGCCTGTGGCATCAAAGCCGAGGTGGTGGGGAAGCCGTCTCCCGAGTTTTTCCAGGCCGCCCTGCAAGCCATTGGGGTGGAAGCCCACCAGGTAGGTCTGGGCCTCGCCAGGCGAGCCTGTGCCGGCAGCCTGTGGGTTCCGGGGCGCAGGCAGCCTGTGGGGCGCCCCACGGGACCAGAGGAGGTCCACTGAGTGCTTTCGGCCTGTTACATTAGTTTCAGTGTGAGAGCGAGAAACAGAAATGCCTGTGGCTTTTTCTAAGTGACCTTTTGCATCTTTTCTGGAAGGATAAGAATTGATAAGTCCTATCAGTGTATTAAAAATATTCTCTTGAGGCCGGGCGTGGTTGTTCATGCCTGTAATCCTAGCACTCTGGGAGGCCGAGGCGGGCGGATTGCTTGAGGTCAGGAATTCAAAACCAGCCTGAGCAAGAGCGAGACCCCGTCTCTACTATAAATAGAAAGAAATTAATTGGCCAACTAATATATATAGAAAAAATTAGCCAGGCATGGTGGCGCATGCCTGTAGTCCCAGCTACTCGGGAGGCTGAGACAGAAGGATCACTTGAGCCCAGGAGTTTGAGGTTGCTGTGAGCTAGGCTGATGCTACGGCACCCACTCTAGCCTGGGCAACAAAGCGAGACTCTGTCTTAAAAAAAAAATTCTTTTGGAAAGACAACATAACAGCAAGATTACAACAATAGGCTACCTTTATATTATGACTATTTTGGGGACAGACTGCCTTCCAAACTTCTAGATTCTAAAAAGAAAAAAAAAAACAGTTATTATTTCATCCATAGCTGCCCACCTCTGAAATTTTCTAATTTCTCCACATCCTTGCAAATACTTGTTATTTTCTAGGGTTTTTATTATTATTATTATATGAACATCTTAGTAGGTATGGTTTGCATTTCCTAACAGATGATGATGTTGAGCATCTTTTTATGTGCTTTTTGGCCACTAGGGGTTCTAATGCATTGCAATTATGTTCTAGAATGACCATATGTTTTGAAAGGCATGCTACAATAAGAAAGGATAGCAGGGCGTAGTGGCTCACCCCTGTGGTCCCGGCTATGACACTCAGGAGGCTGAGGCAGGAGGATTGTTTGAGCCCAGGAGTTTGAGGTTGCAATGAGCTATGTGATAGCACTGCACTCTAGCCTGGGCAACAGAACAAATCTTTGTTCCCCGCCCCCCAAAAACCAAGCGAAGCTCTGACAAGTGCTGCGACGTGGATGAACTAGAATGGGCAAGTCCACAGAGACAGAAAGCAGATTAGTGGTTGCCAGGGCTGGGACACAGGGAAAAGGGGAGTCCTGCTTCATGGGTATGAGGTCTCCTTTTGGGGGGATAAAAGTATTCTGGAACTAGATAGTGGTGATGGCTGCACAACATTGTGAATGTGCTTAATGCCAGTGAATTGAACACATTAAAATGGTTACAGTGGTAAATTTTGTGTAATGTATATATTAACACAGTACATTTATTTATTTATTTATTTATTTAAAAACAGAGTCTCACTCTGTTGCCTGGGCTAGAATGTCATGGTGTCAGCCTAGCTCACAGCAACCTCAAACTCCTGGGCTCAGGCGATCCTACTGCCTCAGCCTCCCGAGTAGTTGGGACTACAGGCATGTGCCACCATTCCCAGCTAATTTTTTTTATATATTTTAGTTGACCAATTAATTTTTTTCTTTCTATTTTTAGTAGAGATGGGGTCTCGCTCTTGTTCAGGGTGGTTTCAAACTTCTGAGCTCAAGTGATCCGCCTGCCTTGGCTTCCCAGAGTGCTAGGATTACAGACGTGAGCCACCGCACCCGGCCCACAATAAATTTTTAAAAATTACCTTAAAAAAATCAACAGTGATTTTTTAGTATTATCATATTCATATTTAAATTTCCAATTCATATCCAAATTTCCCTGGCTTTCTCAGAAATGTTCTTTTACTGTTGATTTGGTGTAATCTAATCCACATGAGGTCTATACCTTGCATGTGGTTGTACTTTCCTAAACCTGTCTTTTTAACCGTTCATCATGGAACAGTTCAAATATCTGTGCAAGTAGAAAGAGCAGCACAAGGAACCCCAAGGTACCCATCATTAAGCTTAAATACTTATCAGCTAATAGCTGCTTTTAATTGTGAAGTAATTTCACACTCAAAAAAGCTGCAAAAATAGTTCAAAGAATTCCCTTCCCCTGTCCCCTTTACCCAGCTTCCCCAAATGTTGGCACTTACATCACAACCATGGAACAATTATAAAATCAGAAAATCCACACTGGGGCTAGACTGTTAACTAATCTAGAGGCCTATCCTCACGTCCTCTCTCATTCCACTAATGGCTTTTTGGGGACGCGTTGCATCTAGCAGTCACGCTCCTTGTGTTCTTTACTCTGAGACATTGCCTCAGTCTGTCTTTGTCTTTCATGACCGTGGCATTTTTTAAGAGTACTCATGCTTTAATTTAGATGATGCATTTTGGGCAGGAATCGCACAGAAACGATGCTGTGCCCCTCTGGGCACACCCTGTCAGAGGCACGTGGCACCATTTTGTCCCGTAATTGGTGATGTTGACTCTGATCATCAATTGAGGAGGCGTCTGCCAGGGTCCTCCACTGGAAAGTTGCTCTTTGTCTCTTTTGATAAGTGGGAAAGTACTTTGTGGGAAAGTACTTTGACACTATGTAAGCATCCTCTTTCTGATCATTCTCCTAATTTTAGCACGAGTTGATAACTCTTTTTATATTTAATTATCATGGGGACATACTAGTTGTGTATCTTTATAGGGTACACGCGATGTTTTGATGCAGGCATATGATATGAGTTAATCAAATCAGGGTAATTGGGGTACCCATCACCTCTTTGTGTTAGGAATATTCCAATTCCACTCTTTTAGTTATTTTAAAGCATGCTCTAACTTATTATTGGTTGTAGTCACTTTGTTGTGCTAGCAAATATTGTTCATTCTTTCTAACTATATTTTTGCACCTCTTAGCCATCCCCAATTTATCTCCACCTCCTTGCTGTGCTTCCCAGCCTCTGGTAACTGTCATTCTGCTCTCTGTCTCCAATGAGATCAGTTGTTTTTAATATTTAGTTCTCACATATGAGTGAGGACATGTGGCAAGATTTGCCTTTCTGGGCTTGGCTTATTTCACTTAACATAATGTTCTTCAATTCTATCCAAGTTGTTGCAAATGGGAAGATTTCATTCTTTTTATAGCTGTATAATATTCCATTGTGTATACATACCACAATTTCTTTATCCATTCATCTGTTGATGGACACTTAGGTTGATTCCAAATCTTGGCTATTGTGAATAGTGCTGCAATAAACATGGGAGTGCAGATATTTTTTTGGTATACTGAATTCCCCTCCTTTGCATATATACCCAGCAGTGGGATTGCTGGATCATGTGGTAGTTCTATTTTAAGCTTTTTGTGAGGAACTTCCATACTGTTCCCTATAGCGGTTGCACCAATTTACATTCTTACCAACAGTGTACGAGGGTTCCCCTTTCTCCACATCCTTGCCAGCGTTTGTTATTGCCTGTTTTTTCTTTCTTTCTTTCTTTTTTTTTTTTGAGACAGAGTCTCACTTTTGTTGCCCTGGCTAGAGTGAGTGCTGTGGCGTCAGCCTAGTCCACAGCAACCTCAAACTCCTGGCTCAAGCGATCCTCCTGCCTCAGCCTCCCGAGTAGCTGGGACTACAGGCATGCGCCCACGCTGGCTAATTTTTTGTATATATATATTTTTTAGTTTGGTCAATTAATTCTTTCTATTTTAGTAGAGACGGGTCTCGCTCAGGATGGTTTCGAACTCCCAACCTCGACAATCCGCCCGCTCGGCCTCCCAGAGTGCTAGGATTACAGGCGTGAGCCAACAGCCGGCCTCTTTTTTTTTTTTTTTTTGTAAATGCCATTTTAACTGGCCTGAAATGATATCTCACTGCAGTTTGGATTTGCATTTCTCTGATGAAATCCACAAAGCAAGACATGTTTAAGGACTCTAACTTGTGTCCTCTTCCTCCTGTTCTGTCTCTGCCTGTCTCGTACGTGGCCATTTTTATAGATATTATGGCTTATCTTTCCATTTTTAAAATAGGAACAACTATGTATATGTGTATATCCTGCTCCTAGGTTGAATTTAAGAGAGAAGAAATTCTTAGGATAACTTCTTATAGAGAGGGAGAAAGGCTAATGTCATAATCTGAGTTTTTAAAAATCTGTACTTAACATCATATAAGCAGTGTGCTCAGAGCCATCTCAAACAACCCCTCCCCCCACAACCCAAACCAGAAACCTGCCCTGCCTAGAGAGCAGGTCCCGAAGGAACTGGAATGTCCATCGTTGGTTATATTTGGATAGTTTGACATCGGGTGATTCCCCTCCTGTTCCTTCTCTTTGGCATTTGTCAGTTATTTGCACAGTCGCATCCTGTCGGCATTCTGAAGAAGAAACGCCACTACCAACACCCCAACGTAGGGCTGGGGCCTCTCGGGGCGCTGGTTAACCTGGGTGTCTCATTTCAGATGCCGGGCAGTGGTCTGGAGAGAGTGAGGTCTCGGACTCCTGCGGTCACCATGTCTGCTGGAGGCTCGGGCCACCCCCTAAGCTCTGTGCCCGTGGACTTGCTTTCGTCTGGCGTCTGCGAGCACGTGTGGCAGCATGCGGTCTTATTTAGCCTCCCACCTTGTCATCTTTCTCTTCTTCCCTCAGCTGACCATTTCGTCTTCTCCCACTTGACAGGCTGCCAGGTGCAATTGCAATCCATTTTCTTAAAATGTTGTTAATGTTACTTGAGTCTCCAGGGATGTGCAGGACACGTTAGGCAAGTATTTCAAGAATAGGCCATTCCAGATGACTGCGTCCTATGCACAGGGTAATATTTCTTGTTCTGCTTCCTTATTTTTAATGAAAACTGCCGTGAAGGGAGCTATCTTGCTGCTGAAGTGCCAAGGCTTGTGCGAACCTTAAATTTTCAAGCTGCTTTAATCAATAAAGTTATCACCCAGTCTTTCTTGATAACTGCGTTCCTGAGACCTGCCTTTCGTTTGTGCTGAGGGTTTCAGCCCACATCGGAATGGATATAGCT